TAAAACTCTGTAACAGAGTTGTTGGAATCGAAGATTCGGTTAATTACCAAATAGATTATGCTGTTGATGAAGGGATCCTCTGGGATTCGATTAACTGATCGTTGATCAGTTCTTTGATCTTCAAAAGATCTCCCTCTTCGTGCTGTTGAACTGCTGAGATTTGTTGACCCTAAGCGGTTTTGATACCAACTCACCTCAACCCTATGTGGTTTTTTCTGCTAGAAACCGATCAACCCCTTACTCAGTTGAGTAAGTCAGTTATTTATAGGGGGGTTAGAGGTGTAACCAACCCCTAAATCCGCTCCTGAGTGGGCGAAGATCCCTCAGAACGTGGGATAACAGTTTTGAGGCCGTTCGACTTGCGTTTGAACAAGTCAAAACGCCTCAGTTGGCGTTATGGGCTTTAACTCTGCGTCCAAGGCTTGAGACGCAGAGTTAAATCTCTGTTAGAGATTTGAGACGCACAGGCCGCATGCGTTCTGGAATTGGAAACGCACAGGTCGCTGGTGCGTTGAAGTTCAACTCTGCGTCCAGAGTTTGGGGCACATAGTTGAGTCTATTAAAGAACGCACGTTATGTGTGCGTCTTGTACTTTAACTCTGCGTTACAGAGTTCGATGTCTGCTGAGGAACACACAAGTGTGCGTTTTGAACTTGAGAAACGCAGGAATGACTTTCTGCGTTTGAGAGAGGTTGTTGACTTGTAACCTCATCCATTATAACATTGCGAAGGCTATTGTTTATTGATCCTTGCCTGTTATAGGATATGCTGTTGTCGCAGCCATCAAGATCAATCATCTCAGGGATGAGGCTGTGTTTATAGCGGTTGCAGAGTTGCGGATGCAGTGATTAGAAAGTCGTCTGATTGTAACTTTCATTATCAGGGCTTGATAGGGAATCGACTATCTATTGTGATTTTTAGACAGTCTACAATCACAGAAAATAACCCCTTTCAAACTTAATTGCAAAAACCAACCTGGTTTCAGCCTTGGCGCTGAAACCAGGTTGGTTTTTGTGAAAAAACTTCAGAAACTTCACGGTTGTTGAACTCCCGTGAAGTTTAGTAAAACTGCTAAACTTCACGGGAGTTGAACACCTGTGAAGTTTCGCAATTCAAAATAAATTTTGAACTACAAAACTTCATGGGATTTCAACTCCCGTGAAGTTTAGCAGTTTCACTAAACTTCACGGGAGTTCAACTCCCGTGAAGTTTCAGATAAAAATTTAAAAAAACCGACATGGTTTCAGCTCCAGGACTGAAACCAGATCGGTTTTTGAAATTTTTTGCAAAAGCGATCGTTTTTTGAAAATAAATAGTGAAAGGGGTTGGTTTTGAAAATTTGTCCCCCAACATTCACGTTGGAGTAGAAAGAGGGGAGTAAAAAATGACCAAATCGCAAGACCGAATAAGATTGAGGGACTTGCTAGCAATTCCAAAGATTAGAGCGACTAATATGAAATTATAGAAGATACTATATTTTTGCGGACAAATTTTCAAAACCAACCTATTTGGAAATTTATTCCAAGAAAATAATCCCTTTCAAACTTAATTGCAAAAACCGACCTAGTTTCAGCCTTGGCGCTGTAACCAGGTCGGTTTTTGTGAAAAAACTTCGGAAACTTCACGGGAGTTCAACTCCCGTGAAGTTTCGGATAAAAATTTTCAAAAACCAACTTGGTTTCAGTTCCAGGGCTGAAACCAGGTCGGTTTTTAAAAATTTTTGCAAAAGCAGTCAATTTTTGAAAATAAATAGTGAAATGGGTTGGTTTTGAAAATTTGTCCCCCAACATTCACGTTGGAATAGAAAGAGGGTAGTATAAAACGACCAAATCGCAAGACCGAATAAGATTGAGGGACTTGCTAGCAATTTCAAAGATTAGAGCGACTAATATGAAATTATTGAAGATACTATATTTTTGCGGAGAAATTTTCAAAACCAACCTATTTGGAAATTTAATCCCAGAAAATAACCACTTTCAAACTTAATTACAAAAACCGACCTAGTTTCGGCCTTGGCACTGAAACCAGGTCGGTTTTTGTGAAAAAACATCGGAAACTTCACAGGAGTTGAATTCCCGTGAAGTTTCGTAGTTCAAAATTTTTTTTGAACTGCGAAAACTAAACTTCACGGGAGTTGAACTCAACTCCCATGAAGTTTCGCAGTTCAAAATTTTTTTTGAACTACGGAACTTCACGGGAGTTCAACTCCCGTGAAGTTTTACAGTTTTACTAAACTTCACTGGAGTTCAACTCCCGTGAAGTTTCGGATAAAAATTTTAAAAAACCGACCTGGTTTCAGCTCCAGGGCTGAAACCAGGTCGGTTTTTAAATTTTTTTGCAAAAGCGGTCGATTTTTGAAAATAAATAGTGAAAGGGGTTGGTTTCGAAAATTTGTCCCCCAACATTCACGTTGGAGTAGAAAGAGGGGAGTAAAAAACGACCAAATCGCAAGACGTTGGAGTAGAAAGAGGGGAGTAAAAAACGACCAAATCGCAAGACCGAATAAGATTGAGGGACTTGCTAGCAATTCCAAAGATTAGAGCGACTAATATGAAATTATTGAAGATACTATATTTTTGCGGACAAATTTTCAAAACCAACCTATTTGGAAATTTAATCCCAGAAAACAACACCTTTCAAACTTAATTGCAAAAACCGACCTGGTTTCAGCCTTGGTGCTGAAACCAGGTCGGTTTTTGTGAAAAAACTTCGGAAACTTCACGGGAGTTGAACTCCCGTAAAGTTTAGTAAAACTGCTAAACTTCACAGGAGTTGAACTCCCGTGAAGTTTCGCAGTTCAAAAAAATTTGAACTACGAAACTTCACGCGAGTTCAACTTTCGTGAAGTTTAGCAGTTTTACTAAACTTCAAGGGAGTTCAACTCCGGTGAAGTTTCGGATAAAAATTTTCAAAAACCAACCTAGTTTCAGCTCTAGGGCTGAAACCAGGTCGGTTTTTAAAAATTTTTGCAAATGCGGTCGTTGTTTGAAAATAAATAGTGAAAGGGGTTGGTTTTGAAAATTTGTCCCCCAACATTCACGTTGGAGTAGAAAGAGGGGAGTAAAAAACGTCCAAATCGCAAGACCGAATAAGATTGAGGGACTTGCTAGCAATTCCAAAGATTAGAGCGACTAATATGAAATTATTGAAGATACTATATTTTTGCGGACAAATTTTCAAAACGAACCCATTTGGAAATTTAATCCCAGAAAACAACCCCTTTTAAACTTAATTGTAAAAACCGACCTGGTTTCAGCCTTGGCGCTAAAACCAGGTCGGTTTTTGTGAAAAAACTTCGAAAACTTCACGGGAGTTGAACTCCCGTGAAGTTTAGTAAAACTGCTAAACTTCATGGGAGTTGAACTCCCGTGAAGTTTCGCAGTTCAAACAAAAATTTGAGCTACGAAACTTCAAGGGAGTTCAACTCCCGTGAAGTTTAGCGGTTTTACTAAACTTCACGGGAGTTCAACTCCCGTGAAGTTTCGGATAAAAATTTTCAAAAACCGATCTGAAACTTCACGGGAGTTCAACTCCCGTGAAGTTTCGGATAAAAATTTTCAAAAACCGATCTGGTTTCAGCTCCAGGGCTGAAACCAGGTCGGTTGAAGTTTCGGATAAAAATTTTCAAAAACCGATCTGGTTTCAGCTCCAGGGCTGAAACCAGGTCGGTTTTTTAAATTTTTTGCAAAAGCGATCTATTTTTGAAAATAAATAGTGAAAGAGGTTGGTTTTGAAAATTTGTCCCCCAACATTCACGTTGGATTAGAAGGAGAGGAGTAAAAAACGACCAAATCGCAAGACCGAATAAGATTGATGGACTTTCTAGCAATTCCAAAGATTAGAGCAACTAATATGAAATTATTGAATAAGATTGATGGACTTTCTAGCAATTCCAAAGATTAGAGCGACTAATATGAAATTATTGAAGATACTATATTTTTGCGGATAAATTTTCAAAACCAACCTATTTGGAAATTTAATCCCAGAAAATAACTCCTTTCAAACTTAATTGCAAAAACCGACCTGGTTTCAGCCTTGGCGCTGAAACCAGGTTGGTTTTTGTGAAAAAACTTCAGAAACTTCGCGGGAGTTGAACTCCCGTAAAGTTTAGTAAAACTGCTAAACTTCACGGTAGTTGAACTCCCGTGAAGTTTCGCAGTTCAAAAAAAAATTGAACTACGAAACTTCACGGGTGTTCAACTTTCGTGAAGTTTAGCAGTTTTACTAAACTTCACGGGAGTTCAACTCCCGTGAAGCTTCAGATAAAAATTTTCAAAAACCAACCTGGTTTCAACTCCAGGACTGAAACCAGGTAGGTTTTTGTGAAAAAACTTTGGAAATTTTATGGGAGTTGAACTCCCGTGGAGTTTCGCAGTTAAAAAAAAAAATTAAACTACGAAACTTCAGGGGAGTTCAACTCCCGTGAAGTTTGGCAGTTTTACTAAACTTCATGGGAGTTCAACTCCTGTGATGTTTTGGATAAACATTTTTAAAAACCAACTTGGTTTCGGCTCCAGGGCTGTAACCAGGTCGGTTTTTGAAAATTTTTACAAAAACGGTCGTTTTTTGAAAATAAACAGTGAAAGGGGTTGGTTTTGAAAATTTGTCCATATTTTTGCTCGCCAGATCCCCTGAGAAGAGTACCCTAAAAATTTTGATCCCAGATGGAAATCCGCCGCGCCCGCCCCTCGCCGATCTCCCCCCACAAACCTAACCGTCCCCCTGCCCCTAACGGCAGCGGCCGCCGACCCCGCCGCGTCCTCGCCCTCGCGACCTTCTGACCCGCGCCCGCCTCTCGACAATCGACCAAGCCGCTACGTACTGCGGCCTCGCCCCTCGCCATCCACGTCCGACTGAACGTCCGTCCACACCACTCTACTCGCGCCCGCCGCGAGCCGTCAAAGTTCTTCCGGTGGTCTGGCCCCAAGAACCCCAGCCTCTCCGCCCTCGCCTGGACCTGATGGTCGACATCCTCGCCAAGGAAACTCCTCTTCGAGCCCATGTGGACGCCATCGCTCCATGAAGCACCACGCCTCCTCACCTCACTCTCCCCCTTCGCCTCCGCCTTCGCCTCCTACGCGCCCCTCCGCCTGGCCGCATGCAAGGAAGGCGCCATGACGCTTCGACCGTCAATGGACCGCTACGGCGTCGCCCCCGACACCCTCGCCCATAAACTCCCTCCTCTCCGCCCATCTGCCCGCGTCGACGAGACCGACCGCCGACGGCCGCCGAGTCTCAACCGCTTCAAGACCCGTGTCGGCACCCGGAGCGGACTCCTTCCCATCTTGCCTGCGAGGTGGTGCGGGAGAAGGCAGAAACGACGTGCCAAAGCGCGCGCCAAGACCACCTTCGGCGAGATGGTGATCCGAATTGGGTGGGACAAGAACAACATGTCGGCCTACGATGCGTTCCTCGCGACACTGGTGCGAGGAGGGCAGCCCGACGAGGCGCTGAACTTTTTGAAGGTGATGAAGGGCAAGAATTGCTTGCCGGGTATCAAGTTTTTCGCAAACGCGCTCGATATTCTTGTCAAGAGTGGCGATGCTAAGCACGCTGTTGAGCTGTGGGATCTTATGGTTGTTGAGAGCGGGCTTGTGCCTAACCTTGTTATGTACAATGCGATTATTGCCTTGGTGTGCAACGAGCGGGATTTCGAGGCAGCGTATCGGTTACTTGATGCGATGCCATTCCACGGTGCGTTCCCCGATTCGCTAACTTACAATACGATTTTTGAATGTCTTGTTAGGAATAGGAAGGCGAAGGAGGCCGAGAAGTTCTTTGGTGAGATGAGGAAGAATGAGATGTCGCTTTCGAGGTCGAATCGCGTTGCGGCGATTAAGATGTTCTTTGAGGAGTTTGATCCAGCGGCGGCGATGGAGGTGTGGAATTGTGCGGCGGAGGAGAGGGGGGAGTGGGATGAGGAGTGTGCGAATGAGTTGCTTGTTGGGTTGGCGAGTTTGGAGAGGTTGAGCGAGGTGAGGAGGTTTGCCGATGAGATGATTGATATGGGAGTGCATTTGAGGTCAGCCACCATGGATAAACTGGAGAGTGCTCTCTCCAAGGGAAGGAGGAGAGAATGTTTTGATCATATTGAGAGGAGAGTGAAGCGCGGTTGAAACAGTAATGGTGGACAATGCACAGTGGTGGAAAGCCCATGGGTACGCACCAATCTATACGTTTTATGTGTTTTGTGTTGCCATTGTCTTTTTAGGGATGCTTACGGATGAAGAGATGTCCAAGGAACATGAAAGAAACTTCATGTTGCAGGTGTAGCTCTTAGTTATGATCACTATCCTTATTCAAGTTTATCTTTCTTGTAAACTCCGTACCCCTAAGTGCTTATACTTGGATAACAGGATGAGTCCTGTTCTTTTTATCTTCTTTCTGATAAGATTAGTGCGAGGAGCTTTCTCATATATCTGGCCGATTTCTGGGCATCAGTTAATGGATTTCTTCTCTGGCTTTATGGAGAAAGCTACTTTTTTGACGAATTTTCTTTAATCCTTCTGCTCTTTGCAGGTTCCTTTTCTTGATGATGTGTTCTTCCAAGAATTTCCTTCATATTTAAGTTTTATTTTATTTATCTGTTAGATGGAGGTTACTTTCACTACATTTGAAGCTTTAGATTGTGCTAGAATTATGATTCCTGTTGTGGCTGCAGTTTTCACTGTCAGCATGTTTTCTCAAAATTGTTCTAATTTCTTTTATCCTTATCCCTGTCATGTTGCACTTTATGTTTGCAGTTCAGATATTCTTACCCTTCTCCTTTGACATTAAGTTGTGCCAACTTTTGAAATGACCCGTGTTGTCGTATTGTTAATAAACTCTTGATGCCATTTCTAGATAATAGTGATCTCCCTTGTGTGCAACTGAAGTGTTGATCCCTAAAAATTGGTCCTCGAACATCTGGATTCTCTTGCTTTGTTATGGATCTCTCTAACGCCTCGTTTGGTACGCGGGAATTGAGTCAAGTGAGAATGGAATGAAGGTAGAATGAAATAGAGTTGATGTGGGAATGGAATGCTCATTCCCATTCTCATGTTTGGGTGTGATTAGAGAATTAAGTAGGAACATCTTTAAGAATAGTATATCCGAAATTTATTTTGTTATTTTCTTTCTCACTTAAGTGGGAATGTCAATTCCTTGTTAACTTATTGGGAATAGCAATTCCCACATTAAGTAGCAATTCCCACATTAAGTGGGAATTGATGAGAAGTGAGAATGACATTTCAAGCATCCAATAACACATTATGTTTGGTAAATATGAATGAGAAGTTAGAATTGCATTCCATTCCCATTCATTCAAGCGTACCAAATAAGGCGTAAGGGAGTGCACAAGTTGTCTTTTCATAATTTAAATGATTACCATTGTTTTTTGTAGGACTTATCTGTTTAGATGAGAGTCTATTTCTATCCTAAGTTTCGAACACGTCAAACTTGTGCAATCTTTCCTAGTATCTCGCCCAGTAGTCTGATTATGCAGTATTGAAGCTTACAGTCTTTTTGGCTTGTCCATGATGTCTATTCTTGGATTTCTCCTAAGCTAATCATCCTGACTGCAAGGTTTTGTTCTTTAGGGCTGTTTGTGTATTAATGGACTTTCAGTTCATGTCTGCGCGCTTGGTTCTTCTCCCATTCTTGGCAGATTTTGGTTGGCGTTGGAAGTATGTAGTTCTTAATATAGGACAATTATGTTACCTCTAATTCCGATTGCACTAAATCATTGTTATGATTAAGACATGATAAACATTGTGTATGACTTTGCGGGATATGATCCGTTTAAGTTGGCACCGTAGGTCTTGGAAGAAAGAATAGCCCCTTTTTTCTCTAATTTACCCTCTCTTTGTGGATGATTGATTCCATCTTTGTTCCACACTTCATTTTCCTCTCCTACTCTTCTTTATTATAATTTTGAAATTATTTCATTGTCTTGGAAGAGAGATACTACTTTTTTCTCATATCCCTTTTCCATGGATAGTGGGACTCCTTGCATTGAAACTTTCTTGATTTTCCTATGAGCTTGTTTATGCTTGATTCTCTTGAAGGTTTGATGCTACTTGTCTACTACTGCACTAGTTCCTCTAATTGTTCCATCTCCCTTCCTCCCTTCCTCCCCCCTCTCTCGCCTTGGCATTTGGCACTGATTCTATTTCCTTTGAGCTCACCTTGGCAATTGTTTTGGTTCCTTCGACCTCATTTAAACCTTACCTTATGGGTTGACAATATATGGGTCAAAACAATTTAAATGTCTCTGCACGATTACGGGTGCTTCAACTAAAAATTTTGCGACATATTATTGAAGACTTGATGTTCAACAACAAATTTTGATGAAGATTTTTTATTGTTGATTGAGGTTTTCTTTTGTGACCGCCTTCATGGGAAGACTTAGTCCGTGACAAATCTACTCAAACTAAGGCTAGACATGTTAGGTCGTTCCTAGCCAGATCGGGATATAGCTAGGGGCCCCTTAAAATGAATCGGGCTTTTGACCGAGAATAATCCAAATTGATTTGGTCAAAATTTGATTTTTCGCTCCAGTTTGGTGCCCTTTTTGACTCGGTGGTCACAATATATTAGATTAAAGCTGATTTCATCCTAAACTAGTGTGATCATAAGCGAAACGGTCCTAAATGCGCACACTCACGGGCTTGTCCGATTTCAAGGCCAAGTCGTCCTATAATAGGTTGGTTCCCACCAATCAAACTCTAAAACCTTGAAGATGATCCAGTTGATTTCAAATACTTCACAAGTCATAGATCTACCAAACTATGAAATCTTGATTCCAATTATGCTTTTGGTTTAATTCTCTTAGTATTATTATGAAAGTTCGAATGATCTTGACAATAATGAAAAACAAAATTACGTGTATGCAGAGTAAAAGTTGAATAATAACTTTTTATTCATTGATTGATTTCATATTTTCTCCGATATAACACTATCTACTCTTCATTCTTCAAACCACAAATCTTCCCCTATACTAGTCCTATCAGGTTATATTAACTTATCTTGATTGTGGTCTTCCAGTATCGTCTATATTAGTCAGTTCTGGCTGTGTTGGCTCAATGCTTGAAATTAAATATGGTATATATTGTTATTAATGCTTCAAATCGTGTTTTCTTTGCAATATTTCCTTTCGCGTGGAGGTTTTGTCAGGGTTCCCTTTTCCTGCTTGGTAGTTCTTCGTTGTAGATGTGAGTCTAAGAGAATGTGAAAACATGTTTTTTTGTATGTACCCCAAATCGCAAGTACTGTAAAAGACCTTTATATTATCATATTAAATGTTTTAAAAGCTCCCGCCTAGCCCGCTTAGGCCTAGGCGGTACCTAGGCGGTCTGCCTAGGTCTTAGGAGCGCCTAAGAGAGGAAATCGCTTACGCGAACTGCATCACTTTGGTCTAAATCGTGATTTCCTTCAGTGCTGCCTCAACACCCTCTAACTTCATGTGAACTCCTTCAGCCGCCTCTACTGACTACGGACACGCACAGACATGTATATGGATAGTGTTGTAATACACAGAGTGTAACTAAGTTACAAACACATGGAAAACTACATATTTGCCCATGGATATCAACGATCCACACCGTTTATTGTTGCCTACATGTCATCAAATGTATTTGGATCAAAAATCAAGTGGCTTAGAATTTTTTATCCTATAATTCAAACAACTCAAAATAACTGACATTTTTTTATGATTACCGACTGTTCATTTCTAGGTTATTAGATGTATAAACTAGAAATATTTAATCTCTGATTTTTCATCTCTTTGAAGTTTTCAATGTATAGATTATAATGAACAGTGGGGATCATTAGTATCCATGGGCAGATATGTATTTTTACAGGTGTGTGTAAATTAGTTACACCTGGTGTGTATTATTACCCTATCCTATACACACACCCTACTCTGACATTTAACAATACCTCCTCACCACTTAAAAAAAAAGAAATCCTTCTAGGCATAACGCCTAGGTGCTAGGCGCTAGTTTTGCACCTAGCGGCGCATTCAATAACATCGATTGTAATTAAAATTAAAAAAGTAAGAAAACGCCTAGACCTTGCTTGGGCGTCGATTCTAATGCCTAGGCTACGTAGTACTTTTTGTAATTTTGATCATAATTTCTATTTTACCCCTAAAATTATAATTAATCCTCAATTTATCCTCCATATTATTGTGGTTAAATTTTAACAATGTATAATGGAGATTTTTTCATGTTGTTTAATGTAAAATTGAAGAAGTGGTTCAGTGAGAAGCGGCTGCAACAAGAAGGCAAGTGAGAGGGATGTAGGTGCTCATAGTTTCGAGGTCAGAGGTCATGTAAGGGCGAGGATATTGTGAGGAATAAGATCTCGTATGAGGGAGAAGGCACGTTCTCTGATGTAGGAGGGGTTAAGAGAGGATAGGGAAGAATAGTTTTTTGGGGAAGGGGCATCATGTTGGTTGATGGGCTTGATTGAGGAGGATGACTAAGGGAGTGTGTTTAGACTATGTGTCAATGATAGATCTGGTTGGGGTGAGGATTAGCACGACAACAAGGATGATAGTTGAGATAGAAGATTGATGAGACAATGAGATTTCAGTCGTTGATAGCGGAGCTAACGAGATGGGAAACTATTTTGAAATTAATTTAATTAAGAATAGTTTAGATATCTAATGAAATAAATAACAACACATAATTGATTATTCTAATTTAATTGGCTAATTGTTCTAGTGGGGCGATGTAGTAGAGGGACAACCATATATGAAGGGTATAACAACTGAGATGATTTTGGAGTAAATTTAGAAACATCTATGACTCAGAGGGGTATATTTTAAAGAATCCAAAAAGAAGAAACATGCGTAATTTTTGGAACTTCCATAAACATGGGTTATATTTCAAATGCAGCAAACTTTGAGAAGAAGATGATGAAGTAAAGAAAGGTTGAATGGTGAGAAAGAAGGGGAAAAAAGAAAAGAGAAAGCAGTTGGAAAAGGAATACACAAACTGGGAAGAATAGGGGAGATTCTTTACAACTGTGAAGAAGAGAGGAGATTCTTAAAAACTGGGAAGAATAGAGGACATTCTTCAGAAGATCTGGAGAAGGGGTTCTTAATTAACATAACCATAACTAATCAATTGGAGGGTATTTTAGTCAATTTTAACTTTCAGCTAAACTGATAACAGAAAAACGGCTATGATAATTCCGGATGTATTTTAACATAATTAACCATAACTAATGAATTTAATTATGTTGGAATATTGTTAAGCTTTGATAAATCCTATGTTTGGATCGTAGTTTTGGTTCGTAGAAGCCAATAAAGACTTGGGTTGGCCTCCATCCTGTAGTAAGCTACACCTATGTGAAACTAGGGATTACCTGTTGTCTATGTTGTGCTTCTGTGATTTGCGTACATAAAACTAATATTATACAAATATCTGGTGACAAAAAATCCTCAGAATCCCAGAATAATCGGGTGCAGCCTGGACACAAAGCGCATGCATAACGGAATATATGACAAGTATGCACAAAAGCACAAGCTCTTTACCAAATACATGCAATGTCACTGAAAGAGGAGGACCCTATGTTACATGTATATGACATGCGAACTAAGTGGATTGATCATTTCAGAAATAAGAAATGGGCTGTAAACATTGATGTGAAGGATTGATTTAAAGTGTTAATTACAAGGTTATTTGTATGGATTATCATTTAGGTGCAACATAGTAACCAAATATGTGAAATTGTAGCTTTGAAATCTTAAGAATAGATCAAAAAATAAATATTGCATGTTGCAGTAGTGCCTACCTACTCTAGATGTGCATTGCTGATATACTTGCAATATGATTAAGCAATGCTGAAAGCTCATTTATTCTCTGAAAAGGTTGTTAGGAGATCGAAGTGACGATCTTCAATACTGTTGCTAATTCTTGTTTCTGCAGTTACTACTTTGTTACCTTATCTCACATACTAGGTGTGGCATCTTCAGTAGTTTTGGAGCTTAATTTTTCTATGTTTTCCTCCTAAATTGCTAGCATTAACTTAGTATAGTATAGAGATGTCAGCTAGATGCTCATCGAATAGTATTTACTTTTTTTATGGTTGTGTATGCAGAGGGACAGTTGTTTCCAAAATGGTGATGTAATGTGTTTTGATCTTGAATAAGGTTTTCAATGGTATGTTTGCAGAAAGAGTTTAGCATCTGGTTTTAAATGATTTCTACTCTTGTCGGTGATATGATAGTCTTGTATAATTAATTTATGTTTAATTAAATTGTATACGCTGATATGTTGAGATAC